TTATTTTTAAATACTTCATGAATAAGTTAAAAGTGGACTGGCAATAATGATGACTGAGATAAATAAAGGGTGCGAATGCACTAAGGCAAATAAACTACGTAAGATCATTCACTGTGGAGATTATCGCAGGAAAGTTTTATTGAATAAGTTTAATAAGGCTTAAATGATCGACGGTAACGGTCTTGTTTCTTTTATACGGTATATCTCCAAGATAATATAGTTGATGATCGGAATAAACGAGATTAATTAAGTCCCTCTCCTAAAATTCCAGAACATTTTAAATTATTAACCGCATATGGCCAATAATTTATTTAACCGATCTAAAAAAATAACAGGCAATGTACATAGAAGTTTCTTCTTTAGATAGGAGGCATTTTTACTTCTATGTTTTCAATTTGATTTGGTATTCGAAATAATTTTCCACTCGAATTTTTATGGATATTTGGTTAATGAATTAATTTATCCTAAGTTTTTTTCTCGGTGGACTATAAATTGATTTTCCCTGCTTACTGAAAATTACATTTAAATGAAACACCAATTTCCCTTACATTATTGACCTAAATTTATTTAAATTAAATACAAAATTTAGAGCACAAGAAACTTGATCCGCTCACAAAAAAAACATTAATGAAAAAAAAGTTGCAATCATTTTTCTTTAAATTTTAACTTTAAACAGCTCTGCTGAACAATTGAATGAATCGCGTTTCATTTGTTTTGCCTTTTCACCGTCGATATACATAACCATGTACCATGTATAAATATATACTTTTTTATGTAATTATGTCAAGGTATTCCTTTTTTAGAGTAAGTAACGGACTATATGAAAGTAATTACGCAAGGCAAGTTGACATCATACTGCACAAATGTTCGTAGTGTATGAATACGAAAACAGCTAATAAAATGACGCTGAGATCTTTTGTTGCAAAGAACGCTCTGTTCTGAAAACCCTATATTTCTATCTATAGAGATTAAATTGCAATGAGTGGTACTTATAATAAAGTTTAATTTCTGTAAAAGCTAAATTTGCATAGTCACTAAGGAAAAGTTACTGAGTCATAAACATTCTGTATAATGTTGAAGATTAAACGAGAAAAAGGAATTGCTACTGTCCCGCATGGACGGCAATAGGCGTTTTCGCTGTAACATAGGTAGGTCAAATTGAAATTTATGACTGTCATAAATATTTCCCTGCTCCTGTAAACTCATTGGTTAAGCAATAAATTGTAAGGCAATGACGTGTTGAAGGCTACACCTTAGAGAAAGCGCTGTTTTTTCTCTCCTTTATTCGTGCATTACTATAATTTCTTAGCGATGTGTGTGGGTTATCACGAAACTTATACTTATATGAAATTCTGTGGACGTGATGCGATTCAATGTTTGGAAGCAACGATGACAAACTATCGGTTTCTATACCAAAAGGGTTCCAACATTCCAACAGCATCACGAAACCAATTACTAAGCCTTACTGTCCGTCCATCTGTCGGCAGGTTGTATATCATGAATCATATTAGGTAGAAGGTTTTCACAGAATAATTATGCATTTATATTTCCCATACTAAATTGTAATAAATGGCATGATTCCCTAAACTTAAAGAACATGTTGTATGGAGGTTGGGCTTGTGCAGTAAACAGAGAGGAAGCAACAATTTTATTTAAGTAGGTACGAAAAAATACATATGCAGCTTCTGAATTATTAAATGTATTTTTTAAAACACCGTTTTATTTCTCAAATGTATACTTACAGACATACATCCAAAATATTAACATCCTTATAATTTTATTTTCATTGTAAGTTTATTTATAATTGATATGAAACATTTTAAATAATAAAAACATGTTTCTTTAATCGTTTATAATCGTAACGTTTTGCAAATATTAGTTGTCGTGTCAACTTATATTTGCACAACGTAACAAGGCAAATGTGCCATATTCTTTTTTTTATTTAAGCGGTTTTTTTTTGTTTCCTAGGGTCTAGTTTTTTTGTACCCTAGACAATCTTCTCTATGACTGAAACTCAATATTGTGGACATTGTGGTATACAAAAACAAATTTATTTTAACCCAAAAAAACATGTCACTTGACAACAGTCTTTTTATTCTCAAATTTAGTTATCTAAATTTATCCTTGAATCAATATAAAGTTAATGTTAAAAGTTACCAAGACACAAGAATATTTATTATCTGTGCGGTGACGGAAAAAGAATACCACTCACCGTCACCGCCCCTTCACTTCCCGCGGGTGTCGCAAGAAGCGACTGAGGGATATCAGAGCTACCATCTGCTCTTCTGGCGTACCACCGTACGCATGGTGAAAAACCCGTGATGTGCTTCACGCACGTTTCGGGATCAGCCAGCGTACAACCAGAGCTCGAGTGGAGATTGCCGCGACGGATTCGGTCCGGTGGAGGCATCCATCGAACCGATGCCGGGAGGACTGCATCGACCCACCGGCCAGGGAGACCCGTAGAAACGGCTGTCCCGCTGGCCGCCCGTGGCATAGTACAGGGGCCCGAGCGTTCCTAACCAGTTCGCGAGGCTGCCCCATCATGTCACGCATAATCTCGGCTACGCGCTTGAAGAATCCTTCAAAGCAAAAGCCGTATGGCGTGAATATTTCTAACTCACTAATGAGCCCAGCCCCTTCCCCAATGTAAGTACTGTAAGGCTTGTGTTCTGGGTTAACTAGGATGAAGGATTGACTACATATACTGGTACATATATTAGTATTAAGTATATTTGTCTAGAAATATATATGTTTATATATCTACAATATATGACAATCTTTGATTTAGGTACAAATGTTCGTATTCATCATACTAACATTTGCCCTACCGATTCGAACCCAGGAATGACCTTTGAGTTTGAGTACGCGACACCTTGAAACCTGACGCATATACCACTCGGCCACGGAGGTCGTCAAGATAAGTGATACCATCCGCGTTCTTTGATTAAAGTTAACAATAGCTCGATTTGAAGAAAATTTTTCGAATGTTAAGACTTTTATTTATGTGTCATAAATGCAGGGGTTACAACAGTCTTACAAACTTTCAATAAAGTTCAGACGCTATTGTTATGGGATTAAGATACACAATGGAACGGAAGACGTTCTCGAGATTTATATACTATTTTAACTCCCCTGCGAGTTTGTATTATCGTGTCACAGGTGTGTTTGTGGACGGTGTGGCGTTGCGTCATTTATATTATATTCATTCCACTACGCGGCATTATATGTCATCTGCGAACAAGACTGCGTATTGTTCTTAAAATAAATGTGTTCAAGAAGTGACAACTCTCCATATGGCACCGGTGTTAATAATTTTAATGCAATAAAATACATATAGGTATATCGTAATAGGTATGCCACTCGGGATTCAGGAATAATTTAGCTTTCTAAGGCGATTCTCACACTGTACGCATTACGCAGCGTAGCGCTGGAGTGTGTGTCCTTACGTTGCTTGCAATATGTCTCTTTGTTTTAAAACACACGTAGTGAAACACGCTAAAAACGCATTCACGCGCAGTGTTGCAGATAAAGTGCCTACATACAGTGAAACACGAGTTTGTACGAGTAAATCTGTATGATGATGCAGATCTGCAGTCCTGCAACCACGCACGTGGCTCCGTCGCCACACAACCCGTAGCGTTGTGCGGGACAGTGGCAGGATCCCGTAATCTATATATATAAAAATGTTATGTTGGTTTGTGTACGCTTCAAAAACTCAAAAAGTTCTGCACCGATTGAGTTGAAATTTTAACATGATATAAAATCCGCATCAAGGATTGTTTTTATCTATTTTTTGCATCAGTCACATATCTACAACCGCGAGAAAACAGTTTTTTTAACGATCAGCTGTGTACCAGTGACTGCGCCATCTGCCCGAAGCGAGAAAAACACTCGCTGACAACCGCAATAGTAATGACGCAGTCACATGAGAAACAATTTCGTTCCCAATTACATTGTTTATTTACAAAAAAAAATGCATCTGATTCTGATTATTATACAATCTGAATTAAATATTCACTTAAATCAAGAATTTTTGGTGAGATAGTGTTGTGATCGAACTGCGCCTTTCACCAAATCGTAAGTAGAAGTTATATTTTATATCAAAGATGGACAGTAAAAATATTTTTTTTTTGCAATTATTATTTATTTAATATTAAATAATTAATCAATAACAAAATAGATTTAGATGCGGATTGCTTTTCACATGGACAACTGTATGTTGCGTGTTCCCGAGTCGGCAAACAAGATAGTCTTTATATCTACGCAGACAGTGGAAAAAAAAGTATATCCATAAGTACTGCAAAATTAAACTTATATGAAATGTATTCTTTGTTTTGTTTCTCATTTGTCAACCATTCAATCACAATGTGCCACTGCGAAGCGTGGCAGGGTACAGCTAGTATTAAAATAATTTTTGAAATCATTCGAGTAATTTTTGAGTTTACTTTTCAGAAACCTACAAATACGTTACGTACGTACGTTGTGAAGTACTCTCACTATGTCTACCTGATCCCTTTACGTAGAGCCGAATGTCTAGGACATAAAATATTATTTTTTCATAAAACGGCCATGACTTTTGGTCGCGTCCATATCGTCAGTCTTTTGCATAGAGTAATACGCTACTGGAGGGTTCACGTAACGTTTCTGGTGACTGAAACAGGTGGTGGGGTGGTGGTGGCCATATGATGGGGTAGTTTAAATGAGGGGGGGGGGGGGGCGAAGGGGAATTTAGTGCATCAGACATTGAGATTGACATTGGGATGTCACGTGCTGCCGCCTGCGAGTTCGTTCACATTAACTTAATTTTTTTGACATTACATTTTTATAGGATAAAACAAATCCTATGTCTCAATCTAGGTCATGAACTATATGCATACCTAATTTCATCCAAATCCGTTCAGTAGTTGGTGCGTTATTGAGTAACAAACTTACAAACTTACACATTTATAAAATTAGTGGGATAGTAGGACTAGTAGGATGTATGGGTGTGTGCTTACCTGAGCTCCCACCATTCCCTCCCTAAGCCTCGGAAGATCGGTGTGCGAGTACTTTGAGATAGACCACGGTTCCACCACTGTCAAGTCCGTGTCTAGTTCGAAATCGTTTATTTGGTTCCGCAGAAATTTCCTTATGTTCCAAGGGAGATCGTTGTGCCTGTTGAAAAAGAGAAATATCATATTAATTTTCTTACTGGAGGAAGTGAACAAAAAAATTGCGGGGTTCTATGAAACAACCATGCAAGTAAAGCTTTAGGGCCCGCGTGGTGGCTCATGGCCCAATCTCCCTATTCCATTCATAGGGAAGGCCTGTACCCCAGGAGTGGGGACATGGGGAGTGGGCTGATGATGATGATGATGATGTGACATCTTAAAAATGAGCGAAAAAAATTGTGACGATGTAATAAAAAAATCCCTTTAATAACAAAAGTCTAAGGGCCACTTGTCTTAAATTATTGTTTAATCCTGTTAACACAAAATACATCACTCCACCTTTGTTTGTTTTAGATAGCATGAGGCACTAACGTGTTTTTCTTTTCAATTTTATTAGTGATCATTGGTATTAGTCCAGGAAACGAATGCTCAAAAACAGGTATAGGGGGAAATGCTTGGAACACAATTTTTGACTTCGTAACTCTGTTAGGACTAGTTAGGAGGTAAACATATCAAAAGTCCCCGCCCGTAGCCCTTAAGCCGGGGGGAAGGGGGGGGGGGGGGGGTTGAAGGTCCCATTTTTAGGGTTTTCGCATATATCTCGGAAACTATGCATCCTAGTGACATAAAACTTGACAAAAGTGAAAGCTGATTAAATTTGCTACAAGTCTTATTCAGTCAAGTTTTTTGATATCTTGTATAGTTTTCGAGATATCCGCTCTTAAAAGTCTGTAATTATGGAAAAAAAATTTTGCTTCACATTTTTGCTCTATTTGACCGGATAACTCTTCAACAATGCCGACCGTAGGGTTGTTGGTTCCACCAGTGAGCAGCATGCAGATTTTGGACAAGTCTCATGTCGCTAGGATGCATAGTTTCCGAGATATATGCGAAAAACCTAAAAATGGGACCTTCAATCCGCCCCCCCCCCCCTTCCCCCCGGCTTAAGGGCTACGGGCGGGGACTTTTGATATGTTTACTTCCTAACTAGTCCTAACAAAGTTACGAAGTCAAAAATTGTGTTCTAAGCATTTCGCTCTATACCTTTTCGTTGCCTGGACTGGGGACCTCAGCCCTCAAAATGCATGTCGGGTGACCGGTGCAGGAGTATTGTCTGCTAATTGATTACTTCGAAAAACATAATGTACCCTTGGTTCGCTATTAACAATTTCAATTATATAAGCAAAGAACTTTGAAGCTGGCTCATTAGAAGTACCTATATTCTTGGTTCATCCCAGTCCGCTATGGCAGCTCTAGTAAGTATCCGAGTAATCTAATTTAGCGAAGTTACGTAACGCCACTTAAAAACGCTATATCACAGGGAGTAGCGAAATTTAATCAGTAAGGGAAATGACGGATTTGCCACTCGCGTGCAAGAGATGGGCCAAATTTATATTACATCCATGTTTAAGGAAACCGTTGCTTAATAATAACAAGTATATATTAAGTTTATGATTATAACACTACAATTTCGTGTTGTATATTTATTAAAGTGAATTTTATTATATTGCTACAAAGTTTTTCGTTCACCTTTAACATGTTGCATTACATATATAAATAAATAAATATTTCCAACACTCACACCAATTAGCCTAGCCCCAAAGTAAGAACTGTGGCTTGTGCTATGGGAAACTAGGGTATCGGATAGAATACATATACTGTACATATATAAGTATATTTATATAGAAATACATATAAAACAACCATGACTACAGTAAAAATGCTCGTATTCATCACACAAACATCATTCCCCTATCTATGATTCGAACTCGGGACCTTTCGAGTCGGCGTCACCATGAAACCCGGCGCACAAACAACTCGGCCATGGAGGTCGTCAAAATTAATTGTTATTAAAAAAATCTGACTGAGGATCTCAGGATACGAGACACCTTGTATACCGGTGTACAAATCACTCTACCACGAAGGTGGTCAAAGAAAAATTGGCAGAAAACTAAATTGTTTGGGTACCGCCTGTAAAATAATTTAGAGGGTGCGTAGGGCACTGTAAGCAGTGTAGATTGGTTTGAATATTTAATGATTTTTTTGAACATGGGAGTAAAAAGAGAAATATATTGGAAATTCTCAAAGAAATGGATTTCTTGACTGGCGGCTGAGCCAGTAAAGCGTTTAAAACAAAAAGAAATATGTAATGAAACATTTTGTTGGTGGCAGTTGCTAGTTATCTTATAATATATAAAGGGTTTAACATCTATACTGCCAAAATCGATGTTATTAATCATCGACCACATAAAATGTGTTTAGGACAGGTAAGGATTATGAAATGGGTACAGCTGCCAACCGATTTAAAGCGAAGGTAGCGGTTAATGATTTCTCAGTTTGCCTCCTTTCATCATTTGTGTATATTGAAATAGACTAGTGTGTAGTCACCCTAATTTAATGTAGCGCAGAGATTGAAGTAATGTGTTTTGATATCAAGCCTTCCCCCCATAGGCACGTTATTTTCGGTGCGTAGTAATGCGTTATTGCGATATCTGTTTTCAGGCATTATGTATTAGGGCGGCTACGAAGTAACACACTGCTGCGATAATAATGACGCAATAGGAGTAGGGCGCATTATCGCAATAACGCATGCGATAATATCGACCGACAAAAACGCGCCTATGGGGTTGAGGCCTGTAATTGAAACGTTTCGTTACAAAATATATTCATTTTTCATCTTTTTTCCTACCCCCTGAAATTATAGTGATAAGATAAATAGATAGATAGATAAACACTTTATTACTCACACATACACAATTAAAGGGTTTAAAAGGTGTTACGTTTATAATATGAAATAGTTAAGCCAATCTTCTTTAGGTCGTTAATTTGTTCTACGTTATTTTCATTGTAAGTATTAATTTGATGAACTTTCAGTGGAGAGTAGTTATTTAGAAATCAAAGAACCGGAAAGGATATGTATCATGTCATACCGACCAAATGTTTATAGGTAAGAGCTTGCCATCCTTAGTATTTTCCATGTTAGTGGGCTAAACTCATGTGAATCTTCCAGGTGACTGGGTTAGATCAACTATGCCTATATATGACCTCTTCTATTTACCGTATGTACGGCGTTTCGAAACTTGTGCAAAGCCTCTTATGTTACCAAATATAATGTGAAGCCCGACGTGAATTCGGGGCAAAAGCCCTCTTGAATTCCAAATTCTTAATAGTTTTTCATGGTGTCGGTGTCGGGTTTATCGTCCACAAGTAGTGTTAAAGTGTGTCGACCAGGGTAGCATACCTGATACTTAGAATATAAAAACGATATTCGTTGTATGTCATACAGGTTTATGCTCCGATCTTGACGCAACCAGATGACGAAGTGGAAGCTATGTATGAGGAGATCATAAAAGCTATGCATAGCTATAAAACACGCTACACGGTTGTGATTGGCGACTTTAAAGCAAGGTTGGGGAAGCGATGCGGTGATGAGTTGAGAGTCAGGCAATTTGGAGTTGGGCAACGGAACGCCAGTGGACAGATGTTGGTAGATTTTATGGAGTAGGAGGACCTCTATATATAATGAAATCCTTCTTCAGGAAACCCTAAAATCGAAAATGGACCTGGATGAGTCCGGACGGTAAAGTCCGAAACGAGATCGACTTTATCAGTTGTCGAAAAAGCTAAAATTCAATTATGCAAACTGCGATGATGGAAATCACAGCAGAACTTCTGAGAGCGGGCGGTAAGTTGATACTCAAACCCCTCCAAAGGCTTTTTCATTACATCATCCTCGAGGCCAAACGCATGTACCAGAGGTGAGGTTGTCCTGTTCTCCAAGAAAGGTGATAAAGCACTCTTGAAAAAATATCGACCAATCTCGCTTCTTAGCCATTTTTATAAGTGGTTTTGAGAGTAATTACGAATCGTCTCGCACGCAGGTTTGACGTTTTCCAATCTTCCGAACAAGCGAGTTCCTGAAAAACTTCAGTATCATAGACCACATTGATACGCTGCGGCAGGTTATACAGAAGACCGAAGAGTATTATTTGCCATTTTGCTTGGCGTTCGTGGATTATAAGAAAGCTTTCGATTCGATTGAGACATGGGCTGTGTTACAGTCTGTCCAAAGGTGCCATGTAAACTATGGATATGTCGAAGCATAAAGGCACCTTTACGAAAACGCCAATATGTAATTCTGATACAGAACCAGAGCTCTAATCCTATCCAACTGCAGCGAGGCGCAAGACAGGGAGATGTGATATCTCCGAAACTGGTCACAGCTGCATTAGGATATTTTCAAGCTTCTGGATTGGAAAGGACGAGGCATCAACATTAATGACCTTTCGCACCTTCGTTTGGCCGATAATCTAGTTCTTATGGCTGACACCTTGAAAAATCTTAACACGATGCTCGAAAACCCTAGTAGTGCTTCCCAAAGAGTGGGTCATAAGATGAACATGAATAATCCGAAATTATGTCCCAGTCCCATATAGTTCCCGCTCCAGTTAAAATTGGGAACACTACACTTTGATGTCCATATTGTAATGTAGTCAATCATCATCAGCCCTTTAATATCCCCACTGCTGGGTCAAAGGCCTTGCCTATTGATGGAATAGGGAGAATAGGCCATGACCCAACATGTGGGCCCAGTACGGTTTAGTGGGTGCTAACGACTGCAGATGAAGCCGGGATCAAGCCGGCGCGGCATAACATGCCTTCCGATACTTACATTGTTTGTAACTAAATAGAATATTATTACATCGTTTTTTTATGTAGCCATCATATTATTAATGCGTACACTTTAAACAATAGAATTTTGGTGAGAAATAAAGGTTATTATTATTATTATTATTTTCCACATACCCGTCAGTCAATGGCACTTCTTCCAGTATTTGCTTGGCTATTTCGAGTCTCTCGCGGTCGTACGAAGCGGCTGCTACCACCGCCGTGACCGCCAGTAGAACGCAAGCGACCGCGCGCCTTTCGCATGAAGTCACCATCCTCACTGAAAAATGAAACTTATTATTATACAACATAGCGATTATTCATACCTGGTTACAAAATACCTACTAGCGATTCGTCCCTACTTTGCATGAATGAAGTTAAGTTTAACGCGAAAAATTTTGCCTATGTTGCTCTGGAATAATATATCTACCAGCTTTCTAACCGTGAAAGAATTTTTGAAATCCATCCAGCAGTTTTTGAGTTAAGAAGTTACAAACATATGAAAATACAATATTAGTACCTACACCATAAATTTGTGTCTATAACTTGTATCAGCAGATGTCATCAACATACATTTCGCATAAAATCATTTAGCAGACGCATAATTGTGTAAGCTAAAATCATCATTAGGCATAAAAATATCCACAATAATTAAAAAACGGAATCTTCATATTGCAGGTAGTTCACAGTCAGAATGTCTTTTGGCATACAAATATTTAACTTTTTCGCTTGCCTCGCACTAAGTTTAAGTCACCACACTAATCTAACCTAATTCACTGACCACAAAAAACGATTATGCTTAACGAAATTAAGCAAAAAATTTGTTGAAAAAATTACAAAAGTTTTATTTATGCCTAATAAAATTCTGCTATCTTTACAGTATGCCATTGTGAATTCGGACATATAAACATTCAACTAAATGATAATTATATTGACAAAAAAATATGCCTTGAAAATAATTGCTCAAAGAAGATTGTGCCAAGTGTGTTATGCCAAATGAAATTCGGAGCAAAATTCTGCCGAATAGAGGAAACCCCAAAAAATCCTCTGTATAGAATGAGTTTTATGAATAGAACAGAATTACGAATCACATTCTTTTTACGGGATTTCACAGCCAATCGTAGAAACGTTTAGTTTCCGTTCTGTTGCATTAGGCTTAAAGCTTATAAAAGTGCCCACTTAAGTGCTGAGAGCAAAACTACTGGATAAGCTATTTTTTTATGCCCATAAAGTATTTGATTTCTGAGAATTCGCATTTAAACAATAACTACACGACGTAACCATTTGAAACGTGCTAATAAATGTGTTTTAGTGCTCTCTGGAATGATTTCAAAGTCAGCAAAAGCTAGTATTTATTTTTAAAACAACTAGTACGATATCGAATATTTTGTTAAGTTGAACTTATCAACTTACGTTTACGTAAGTCATGCTTGAAAAAATTTATACCTTATGAGGTATAATTTCGTTTGATCATTACCTACTAAGTAAATATTATTATTGAAGTACAGTACTTAATTAGACGCTTTTCAACTCTTCTTATCATAATTACGTTAAGCTGGATGTTATTTTAATTATCCAAGAGGTAGTCCAAGAGAGGTCCCTACATGCAAGTCATGTAACCCTTAAATGTGAAACTCATCGGAGGGTTGTAGCAGATGTTAATAATAATGTATTTTCATCTCCTTTCTTACAGCAAAAGTCCGCTAAGAAATACAAAGATTATTTCATCGCGCCAAACTATCCACATAAGGTCGGATAACACCGCATTATATCGCTCCAGAAACATCAAAACCGAATCCTACAGGTCGCAATTATTATTTCACGCCTGCACGTTTATACGTCAAACACAGACACAGGGGACAGAGGGAGACAGATATATATGATACCGCTCACGTATGACAAGGACGGGAAGAATAACAATGTCACCGCTGGGGACAGGTAATCCTGGGACTACGATGGAATACGTAATAAAGGTTTGTAACAGGGTCGTCCGGGCTTTAAAAGTAATTAGAGGGCGCTGCGAGCGGAGCTTTTTTGCCTATAAACTCGTTGACTCTCCGAGAGAACACTGGCAGTGATCGGGTGTGGTTAAAAAGTGACGTGTTCAATTATGCATTATGCGAGAAAAGCCATTTAAAATTATAACCTGCGCAGAAGAGGGACTTTAGTCCGCGGAGGGCTTTTGTCCGCCGTAATAGATCACTATTACTTAATAATACAGCGGAAAAAAAGTCCCCTGAACTACCACGGACACCGAGGGGCCCGACCAGACAAAAGTACGCGAGAGTCCTTGAAAAAAGTAGAACATATTATGTGACAAGAGGGGGCAACGCACACGGCGTACTAAAAGTCCGCTGAGCTCGCTCGATAGTGATGTACGTGGTAAAGAAGTGGAAAAAGGAACTCCTTTATATGATACATCAAAATAAGAGTATCAATACCAAAAGAATATTTGTTGAAGGAATTCTTAAGCAACTATGGACTTCGTCATCAGAAATGCAAATAAAATAATCTTTACGGAGTTATAAAATAATTGAGGAGGGTTGTCTAAGTCTGCAATTAGAAACTTAAAATTAAGGAAACACAATGGAGAACACAAAAGCTTCCAAATGTTACACTTAAATATACCCAACATCAAAGTATAGCCTACGTATGTTATATTAATTTTTATTTCATGTTAATACATACAGCATTATCGAAGTTATAACTGTGAACAGTTTATGCTCTATTTTAAATTTCCGAGATTTCGCGCTCCCTGCGCTTACGTCACTTGTCTCCAGTGGTGCGTTAAATACCTACGCTCTAAGTGCAATTCTTAACGCTGACGTTTAAAAATTTTGACATAAAATGTATGAAGCTAATGTCAACTTTGAAATTTATTGCACCTTAGGTTTTGAACGCAGCTTTCGGGCCGCGACACGACGAGTGACGTCATCTCAAGTTCCCGGACCGCCCGCGTTTCTAAATAATATTGTGCGAATATGCATATTTTAAACTTAATTGTCTCAGCCTTTTTAAAGTAAAAATACAGTTATTCTTGTAGTTTTTTGTAGACTACTTTGTTATTTTTCCATGAGTAAGTAATGACATCTTTTTATTGTGGCTTAGCGTTATGTCTCTGTCCTTCTATTTGAAGTGATTTCAGTGATTAAATCAACCTCAAGTATGTTGTTCGTATATTGGAGTTTACTCCTTAAGAATCGATTTGCATATATAAGGGGCCCGGTATGAGAAAAATGTGAGGAGTAAAATCTACTGAACAAATGACCTCGTTACGTTTTTGTGCGCAACCTCATCTGCGTACCTTCACTTTTAGCCATGGCAACGGATAAAAAACATTAAGTTGTCACAAATGTCAATAAAATAAATTAACTAAAAATAGATAAAATCGGAGCAAAATTAATGAAAACAAATAAATAATAGAATATAGAGAAATGCCGGTAAGTGTCCAGCACTCTGGAATAGTGATTTTCAGTACAGATGGAATTATAATACATATTTACAAAATGATGACTAGTGTGTGATATTTTTGTAATTGTGTGTTTCCAGAAATACATAATAAAATATATGATGAATATCGATGATGTTAGATGATAAAATGTGTGACATGGACCTATGATAGTCGAAACCATGGGACGATTTCTGAGGTATCTCTACTTGTAACCGACTTCTTCGGACTTGATTTTGTTTTGTGTCTGTTCAAAGACAATCGTTTTTAGAGTGTAAACTCCGGTCGTGCGTCGGAGCTGACACACACAATTTTTTTGCATCGCTTTACGCTTATACATATTATATATATAATATTTCAGAAATATTTATATAATATTTCAGAAAGATCGTGAAACATTGTTTTATTCAATTGTGCGATGAGTCTATGACAAGTTCTCAGCGGACATTTTTTTTAAATACAAGGACAAAAATCCGTCGTCTGCGCCGGCCATTATTTTGAACAAAGTATGATTTTTTAATTTGTTTTTGATATTTCGTACACCCACCCTGTTTTATTTTTTAGTGTATCTACGTGAAAATAGTAAAACAATTGAACACGACCAATATTTTACACCATTTCAAACAATTAACAAGGTGAAGTTATTGCACGAGCTGCTATCCGTGACGACTTGTATTTGGAATTTCCAATCGGGAGTTTCGAGAAATCGGTTCTCAGCAGAGATTTAAAACATCCTTCGTGGTTTGCTGTCCAGTAGTTTGTGCTAGACGCTAAGTTCTCATGTAGACTAGAGTACGAATTTCGTTTCTTACCACAGTAGTAAGTAGTGAACCGAACATCGATGGTGTTTATTTTATAATGTTTTCATTTGACCCGACATTCAGTTTGAATTACGATATCCTGATCGTATCCTTAGTTCAATGTCGTAGAGACTAAAAAGACACTTCGAAGTTTATAATAAATCAAATGTTTAAAAAAAATATTAGTGCGCGGGAGAGGTACGACGAAGGTATTGGGAAGTCAACAATTGAAGTTAAATCCTAATTCTTGTATCAATAGTCTAAACATTTAATGGCAAACATGAAACAAACACATTGCTGAGAGGCGGCCACGTGAGCCGGCTTGCGACTTCTCCGCTCCGTGGCTCTAGGCCGCGTTCAAAGTCGCCGCGCGCCGCTCCGTGGCTCTGGGCCACGTTCGGAGTAGCCGCACCTAGTATCTTCGTCGCGTCTCTCCTGATCCTGATGTGCGCTGTGGTGTATTCTAACACCCCTTCAAGAATAGATAAAAATAAAATTATTTTAATTTGCCTATATTAGGTACTTCGCCTAACAAGTTTTCCGCTATGTTGCTATTTTACGGATCCGTAATTAATGTGCTGTAAAAATGCAGAAGCTGGAAAGGTTTTTGATACTCGGAGACAACCCGAAGTAATAAAACTTAGCAGGGTATCATTAAATGGGGAATACGTGACCTATTTGTAAATGTAGTATATTATGAAGGCTAGCCATGCGCCCAAGACTTGCACGGGTGAAAGTTATTTAGACGCGATAGACCAGTAACAAATGGAACAATATAGCTTTTTCACCAGAAATGAATGAAAGATAATCAAAATTGAATGATTAGTTCCAAATAAAACTTCCTTAGAAAAGGAAACTACCTTCTATAATATTAATGTACCTGTAGACCCACCAGTTCGACATATTAGTGGGATCACGGTTTAAGAAGCATATATTGATTCCGAAAAAATTTTTAAAGCACCACTGTTAGGGTACAGCGCTTTGTTTATAGATACATATAACCAGAAACGGAATAAAAATAATTATCTATTA